TCATTATTCAAGTAGGAAGTTACTTCTTTCCAAACAAGATCTGCAAATGTATACCAACCCATTGTACTGAAAATTCTGTAGTCCCTACATTCATATATGAGATAAAAACAGAAGAGGGGAAGAAAGAATGAGCATCTATTTTATCACCTCTAATATGACAAAAAGGCTTAAGATTAATCCCCTTAGAATTTTTTTCTCAGTATGGGAGTTTGAATTCAGGGCCTCACACTTGCTAAGCAGGCACTCTACTTGTTGACCCACTCCACCAACCTCCTTTAGAATATTCAAGAAAGCAGTTTTCTGCCATGGTGGTAAGATTCACTTTGGTGGATCAAAAATAATTAACAGGTCTGAAGGTGTGACTCAAGTGGTAGAGCACCTGCTAGCAAGAACAAGACCCTGAGTTCAAACTCTAATACCACCACTAAAAGGGGAAAAAAAAAAAAACAAAACCCACCCAAGCAACAGTTATTACTGAAGATTACAAATTATTTTTTTCCATAAATAGAACAGACTCAAAGTTACACAAATATGGTGGTCTTTTCCTAAAATGAAACTTTTCCTAATCTAACAAGTAGTAATTTTTTTTCTGTACTATTTCTTTCTTGCATTCTAGTAAATGTTCCTAAGGGCTGGGGATGTAGCCCTGAGTTCAAACTCAGTAGTGCCCAAAAAGAAAAAAGGATTATCTAGTAAGCAAGCATTCCTAAGCAAAAGTGAAAAGGCTTGGAAAGGACTAGAGGCATGGTTCAAGCAGTAGAGCACCTGCTTTGTAAGCATGAAGCCCTGAGTTCAAACCCCAGTCTTTAAAAAAAGGGCTTTGAAATTGTTCATCATTATTGATTGATGATTATTTACTGTAGTTGGAGAAAGGTATGATTACATGCACCCTAACCCTAATCCATCCATAGATTCTGGAAGGGGTTAGCTAACACGTTCTTAAAAAAAAAAAAGCAACTTCCAGGTGAATTTAATCCACTCTGCCATCACCATACAAAACACTATCATCACTCTAACTTGACCAAACATTACATTTTTTTTTTTTTGGTGGTGGTGGCACTGGAGTTTGAACTCAGAAGCTCCAATGTGGAAGGTTAATTACAGTTATATAATAATAAGTGACAACAGAGTAAAAAACAAGTAGTTTACAGTAGTTAACCAGCCACATTACCTGAGAATGAATCCCCACTTTATCACTGACTTTGGCCCTTTCAGTACCAGTTTCCTTTATCTGTCAACCAATAGTAATAGAACCTTCTCCCATCCAAGTACTAACCAGGCCCGACCCTGCTTAGCTTCCGGGATCTGAAAAGAGAACCTTCTTAATAGGGTCAGCATAGAGAATATTACTAAGAAAGAGATTAGAAGGTTAAGTATTCAATTATTATTGAATTATTGTCTTTTTTTTGTGTGTGTGCAGTACTGGGGTTTGAACTCAGGGCCTACACCTTGAGCCACTCCACCAGCCCTTTATTGTGATGGTTTTTTTTCCGAGATAAGGTCTCACAAACTACTTGCCCCAGCTGGCTTTGAACAGAAATCCTCCTGATCTCTGCCTGATGAGTAGCTAGGATTACAGGCGTGAGCCACCGGTGTCTGGCAATTACTATTATTTTCATTTACTTATATTTAATTAATTTTGTTTATTATTATAGTATTGTCACTACTATTTAGGTCTTTGGAAAAATGGCAACCCTTCCTTTAAATTCTAAGTGTTCAGAATTTCCCCAGACCTGAATAGAATGGCATTTTTCCTAAAATTGAAATTTACACTAGTCTAGCAAATAGTTATTTTTCCCAAAGAGCATATGCCATCTTCTTTTTTTCCTATAAAATATATTTATCTTCAAAACTATAGATCTATAGCTTTGGAGTCAGATATTTCTAAATTCAGTATTTTTCAAATTTTATAAAGGTAAAACAGAACAAATACCAAATATTACGCGGGGGAAAAAAAAAACCTCAATACTTTTTAAGTATCTTTGCCAGTACCCTCAAGTCAGTTCCGTAACTGTAGTCCCTCTTGTTATTTCTCATGGGAAATCAAAACAACCCAGGCTTTAAAATTAGAGATGCATTGGAGGGCTGGTGAAGGATGATTAAGCTAAAGTGCAGAACTGACAATAATTTGAATTCTACTTCCAAAATTTGAGTACTTTTGACAACTTGTTTAGAGTCTATCAATTCTTATTTTTATTTATCTATTTATGCATGCATGCAGTACTGGAGTTTGAACCTCAAGCACCAAGCACTTTGAGATACTCCACCAAGCCCCCACACACACCTTTTTTTTGTGAAGGGTTTTTTCAAGATAGGATCTCAAGAACTATCCACTCGGGCTGGCTTCAAACCAAGATCCTCCTGATTTCTTGGTCTTTGCCTCCTGAGTAATTAGGATTAAAGGCATAAGCCACCGGCGCAGCTTATAATGCTTTCTTATACTAACAGAAAATCTGCCTCTGTGCACAATTTTTAGCTTATTTTTGGCAAGTAAGAAGTCACCAAAGACATTTAAGGTGGTCCTACTAGATTATAATGAATGCATTAGGGAGACATTAGCCAAACATTCCCCAGAAGAAGGCATAAAACAGTCCTCCAACCAAGAAACAGAAGTGAAAATAATTCATCTCAATAACTATGCTTCTGCCAGATCAAGATCTTCATAATATTTTAGAAAGATCATGAAAAAATTTCCATGCAGATGAAATAATCATGGCTTTAAAATTATTAATTTAGCATTAAGATAATTATAAAATTACATTATATTCTTCAAAATGCTAATTATGCAAAAGAAATGGTGATGATTACAGCAATCTTTCTACCATTTCTAGATATTGGACACCAAACAAAATGTAAGACAGTCTCATTTCCTAAGGGCTCAATAATAAATCAGAATGACAAAATAGGGCATTTAAAAAGAAAACAGGGGAGCTAGGTGATGAAATTCTAAAACCCAAAACACGTAACTCCCCTTGACCCAAAAGTGTAGGCTATTAAACCATGATTTTTTTTTTCCTTCTTTCCATCCTGAATATATTCCACCCACTCTTCTCTCACTTAGATAACCTCATACGTAGAGCTAAATAACTATTTCAAAGCCTTCTCTAAACTCTCGACTTAGATCAGGCCCCTCAGGGGCTCTCCTAACACCTTACATTTTCTCTGCCTCATCACTCCCCTTCAAGGTTTTCTCCTGCCAAAATCCATTAATATAGGAACATCATCTGTCTTCTTTACCACTGTCAGATAACCACAGGTATAAGCACATAACAGGTGCTCAAATAAATTCTCAAACAAATTTCTAGGAGCAAAGAAACTTTATAAGCAGATTTTAAAAAGAAAATTAACCTGAGCATGATGGCTGTGATCTCAACACTCAAGAGACTGAGGCAAGAGAATCAAAGTTCTAAGCTAACCTGGTGAAACCCTACCTTAAAATTTAAAAAAATAAATCAATTAAGAAAAAAAAAAAAAAAGGGGCTGAGCACTGGTGGCTCAGGCCTATAATCCTAGCTACTCAGGAGGCTGACATTAGGAGGATGGCAGTTCCAGGCCAGCCCCAGTAAAAAGTTCCTGAGACTCCATCTCAACCAACAACTGATCAGATAGCACACACCTGTCATCCCATCTACTCCTGGAAGCATAAATAGGAGGATCATGGTCCAGGCTGGCCCAGGCAAAAAGACCCTATTTTAATATAATTAGAGCATGGACTGAGGACATGGCTCAAGTGGCAGAGTGCCTGCCTAGCAAGTATGAAATAAACCTTTAATCTCCAGAACCACCAAAAAAACAATCACATGGTAGAGGGCCTCCCTAGCAAGTTTAAACCCCAGCACTGAAAAATAGCCAAAGCAAAAAGGGCTGGAAGCATGACTCAAGTAATAGAGCACCTGCCTAACAGGCACAAAAGCCAAGTTCAAACACTACAACTAGGAAAAAAAAAAAAAAAAAAAAATAGTGGGAAGGGCACTTTGTAGTTCAAGAATTCATCCTCTCACACTTGTAATCCCAGCTACTCAGGAGGCAGAAATCAGATCCTACCTAAAAAATATACTAAAAGCAAGAGGGACTGGGAGGCCAGGCACTGATGGCGCATGCCTATAGTCCTAGCTACTTGGGAGGCAGAAACCAGGAGGATCACTGTGGAGGCTTATCCTGGACAGATGGTTCTCAAAACCCTACCTCAAGCAGAGCTGGTGGAGTGGTTCAAGTGGTATAGCCTAGCAAGCATGAGGCATCAGTTCAAACCCCAGTGTGGCAAAAAAAAAAAAAAAAAAAGCTTCCTTCTGAATAGCTGGAAAAGTTGGGGGTGGGGGGGAAGAAAGGAGAATTTAACTAAGATATATTGTAAGCATTTTTGTAAATGTCACAATGTACCTCCAGTACAACAATAATAATAAAGTAAATAAAAATTGAAAAAAAAATTGGAAAAGTTTAACAGATGTCATCTAGAAAGGAACTTTTTCATAAGAACTCAGAATACAATATTTCTAACAAAGTTGCCAAGTCACACAATAAAACTACCTTCTGGAAAAATATACTGTATATCAAATAGGTGTGGCAAAATATTAGACAGATATGGCAGTGCATGCCCACAATCCCAGCATTGGGAAGGCTGAGGCAGAAAGATCTTGAGTTTGAGGTCAGCCTGGGTCTTACCTCAAAAAAAACAGTAACAAATAATTACATTAAAGATACATCTGTTTACACAGAGTTATGTAAATGTACCCTGGAAAAATGGGAAAGCATTTGCTCCATGGGTCCAGAGAACCACAACTTACGTGCACCATATATGGATACAGCTAACATGAGAATATGGCAAAAAGAACAATTATACTTATCAAAAGTAGCATTTGGGGGTAAAGGTATGTTTCAAGTGGTAAAGCTCCTGCCTCTAAGCTCAAACTCCCATACCACAAAAAAAAAAAAAAAAGTAGAATTTTTGAGAATTTTGCTTGAAGTTAAAATATAATTTTTTTTTAAATAATGAAACTAGATCCTTGTACAAGCACAGCTAGGAGCTTCAGAAAATAAAAATTTATACTTTTATCCCTCTCTTCTACAAATGTTCACTTGTGTATATGTGGTGACTGCCCTTTATTTTTACTGGAACTAGGGCTTAAACTCAGGGCCTCATGCATGCTAGGTTTGCTAGGGAGGCACTCTGCCAGCCCATTTGTGTTGGGTACGTTCAAGATAGGATCTCTAGAACCACGATGCTCTGCCTCCTAAGTAGCTAGATTACCAGGTGTGAGCCACAGGCACTCACCTTAAGTTCACTTTTCTATATACAGAATGTATTCAGACCCAAGGAGAACAAGAGAAAGTGGCCAAATGATACTTACATTATCAATTAAGAAACTTCAACTGCACATGGTGATGTATGACTATGATCCCAGTACTCAAGATGCTAAAGCAGAAGGATTTCCAGTTTGAGGCCAGCTTGGGCTATGTAGTGAGTTCAAACCTAGCCATAGCAATAGAAAGAACCTGTCTCAACCCTCCCCTCATCCTCTCCAAAAAAAACCAAAAAACAAACAAAAATCAACACACCAAAAACTATTCCCGTTACTTATAACCCATTTAAAATATCTGAAGAGCCTTGATATAGGCTCTTGGTACCTGCTAGTAATACTGCAGGTACTCACCCCTCTAGTAAGAGAGAAGATTGCCCTTGATCCTCATTCTCTATCAATAATTGTACATATCCATAGCACAGGTAGAAAATTGTTAAGATGACCAAACTACTCAATCAAAAAAGTGAAAACTTGGCCAGGAGTGGTGGCTCATAACTGTAATCTAATCCAGTCAGGAGAAGGAGATCAGGAAGATATGGTTTGAGGCCAGCTAGGCAAAAAGTAAGTGAGATCCCATCTTAACCAATACCTAAGTATGGTGGCATGCCTGTTATCCCAGCTACATGGGAAGCATAAGTAGGAGGATCCAAATCCAGAACTGCCTGGGCCAAAACAGGAGACCCTAACCCAAAAATAACTAAAGATAAAGGGCCAGCAGAGTGGCTCAAGCAATAGAGAGCCTGCCTAGTAAGCAGGAGGTCCTGAGTTCAAACCCCAGTACTGCCCCCCAACAAAAAAAAAAGGGGGGGGAGAAAGGAAGTTAGAGGAAGGTTAGAACATAAATACAGAGAGAAGTTCTGGAGTAAGACAAAGATTTCAAGATTGGACTGGAGGTATATGCTCAATGATATACCAAATCCTTAGCAATCAAAAGGCATTGGGAGTTTAATTCCCAGCACCAAAAGAAAACAAAACAAAAATACCCTCAAGACTGGCAAGCAAGACAATTATTAATAGTAATGGCATTTTCCCAGAATTTACATTAAGAATCTCTCTACTGTAGGAAAGGGAAGTGGAAGAAGAGACTTATTTACATACCTTACAAATGTGCTGCAAAAGGCAAGGCTTGAGTGACAAGAGGTTGTACAAAGTACCTTGAACTTCTTAGATGAAAGGCTATAAAAACATAAGAAATACCAAGAATTACACCTATTCATATTTTAAGAACAAAGGACAACATATAAATGAGCTTGTCTATAGAGTCCAAAGAAGAAAAAGTACATTATTTAATTTTTAATTGACATACCATAAATTTTTTAAATCATTTATACAATCCTTGACCTCCTTCACTTAACACAAAATATCTTATTTTCCAACTATTATGTTAATGTCGACTTTAGTAAAACAAATGAATTTTATATAAATAAAATTTCCAAATATTGAAATGTTGCCTTTCTATTTTTTTTGCACTGCTGGGGTTTGAACTCAGGGCCTACACCTTGAGCCACTCCACCAACCCTTTTTTTGTGATGGGCTTTTTTTTTTTTTTTTTTAAATAGTGTCTCACAAACTGTTTGCATGGGCTGTCTTCCAATCAAAATCCTCTGATCTTTGCCACCCGAGTTACAGAACTACAGGCATGAGCCAATGGCACCCTGCACCTCCCACTTTTCCTTTCTCTACATTACAAACTTAATTCATTGGCTGCTTGTTTTCCTTTTATCTTCACTTAAATTTGAGATGCTGCTACAAATATGCTTAAGCATATTTATTCTGCTTATCCTCATTTAAAAAAAAAAAAAAATCAAGTTGAGGACATGGCTCAAGTAGCAGAGTACTTGCCTAGCATGCACCAGGCCGTGGGCTTAATCATACAAAATTACATATCACAAAAATAAATAAAACCAATTCTTTCCAGCCATTAAAAGAAAAAAAAAATCAAACACAGTTTGGTATAAACTGCTACTAGCTACTATTTAACATAGTGTAATCTCATATTTTGTGTATTATTTACTACAAAATGTGCTGAGTTAAAAAAGTTTTCAAATGCATTTAGAATCATTTGGAGCAAGTACCAATAAAATGAGACCAACACCCAGAATGAGAAGCTTCAGTGCCTATCTGATTGTCAGTCACATGACGACCATAATTATGAGTATACAAGGCCTTCACTTAATACAGCACCACAGATTAAAAATGAGTCACTTGAAAACATCTGAAATAAGGATTTTATAGTAATTACTAACTTCAAACTGTCTTGTAAATTTAATAATGTCACTGATATTTTAACAGTGAACATGTCCCCAAAAAAGCAGAACACTAAGACACATATGCTTAATACAAACAAGTTTAAAATACAGTTATAGGAGCTTATGGTACAGCTCCATGGTAGAGCGTGCACTTGCCTAGTATCATACCTAACTTGGATCCCTCAGCACCACAAAATACATTAATTAATTTTAAAATTAAGACGTTCATTTTTCTTTCTTTTTTTTTTTTTAAGACAGGTTCTTGATATGTAGCCCAGGCTGGCCTCAAGTTCACATTCCTGTTGCCTCAGGTTCCCCAATGGTGGGATTACAGGTATGTACCATAATGCCCAGCCTCTCCAATATTTAAATTGTTTATGTACCATTTACTGTCATCACTAGTAGCCATAATGCAATTAAACACAATGGGATATCTATAGAAGTCCATCAAACCCAAATTAATTCCCTTAGAAATTGAAATACCAGTCTTTCTTTTCAGAGTTAAGATAAATCTCTTGACTGTCTAGAACAATTAAGAAAACAAGGTAGCACTCAACCTCTTCCTCTGGTCACCACCATAGACAATACCTGAAGATTTGTTTTTACTCTTCATAATAAACCTACATCCCTACATGACCAGGAAATTTAAAAGAAATGAACAAACAGAAAAGGAATCAGGACTATGAAAATACTCCAACAAAAACATTACCATACACATGCACAGACAACTATTTACTTGAAATACGGATTTTCTCACCTGTATCACCCTAAACTAGGTCAAAAGAGCCCACAGTTGCCTGAAAACATTCTAGATATACCTAATAACATTGGTTTTGGATATGAGAAGCTGGGTTTTCAAGAAGATCCAAACACCTAAAGGCCAGCACTAGGCCAGCATGGGACACTGTACATTTGTCTACCTTCCTCAACTGAAAATTCAGCAGGACCATCTAGCTGCACAGAGAAATGTGCTGTGAAAGCTAAGAACTGAAATTTGTTTGACAAATTAATTCTTCAGCTTCTCTCAAACTGTTCAATCTTGAAGGTATAAAAAGAGAAAACAGTGATCTGAAATTCCTGAATTTCAGTGGACTCTCAGTCAGCTCTTAGGGGTAAAAGGAGAATACCTTATAGATAAAATAGTCCTGGTCCCCTCCTGACTAGATATGATCTTCCAAGAAGTCTCACCAAGTGCAGGTGGCTCACACCTGTAATCCTAACTACTTGGGAGGCTGAGATTGGGAGGATCACAGTTCAATGCCAGTCCAGGCAAGTATTTTAAGAGACTGCCATCTCCAAAATAACTGGAGCAAAAATGGTCTGGAGGTATGGCTCAAGTAGCAGACCATCTATCTGCTTTGCAAGCATGAATGCTAGTCTCACCAAAAAAATAAATACAAATTTAAAAAACATTGACATCTTTGAGACTCAGTTTTCACAAATGAGGTTGGTCTACAATTCCTGAAGATCTATTTTAGGTCTAAAATCCTAGGCCTATGAAGAAATTGGTTGTTAGACATATTCCTATTTTCCTCTTTTTTCCAGTACAAAGTTTTATACCAACAGAGGCTATAAGTCTAACGCTAGATTTTGTCTCAAAAGCTGCAGGGGTGTAGCTAAGTGGCAGAGCTCAGTTCAATCCCCAGCATCACTACCAAAAAAAAGTTCTATGTACTTATCTATTTTATGTCACTGAGAGCCATCACTCATAAGTACACAGAACCTCAAGATTATTTATCAAAAGAGATCCTTTAACAAATCATTCTTATAATTAATAACTAGTCTTAGATGGGTGCCAGTGGCTCACACCTGTAATCCTAGCTGATCAGGAGGATGGTGGTTGGAAGCCAGCCCTGGGAAATAGTTCTCAAGACCCTATCTCCAGGGAAAAAAAAAAAACCTTCACAAAAAAGGGCTGGTGGAGTGGCTCAAGGTGTAGGCCCTGAGTTCAAACCCCAGTACCGGAAAAAAACCAACAAACTAGTCTTGTATTTTTAGTCCGAACACTTGTCACTTCTGTCAAATGCTCATCTTCCACCAGTCTAGCCATGTTGAAGGTGACAATCATCAACACAGTACATACCCAAATATGTGTGATACCCAAATCTCACCACATACATTTTAAAGTATAAGGGATTTTTTGCTTTTAAAAATTCTCTCCCTTCAGATTTGGCAGAGGAATATAATGACTGCACACCTGCAAGAAATGTTTATTTCAAGAGTCTGTCAAAAGATAAAAAGAACCTAACAAGTCACCAACAGGTAAAATCTTAAATTTTGACTGTCGAAACCTACAAGTAGAACCAACTCCGAGGCAAAAAGGATGCCAACTGACCACTATACCTACTAAACATTGTTTTAAACAAAAATCAATTTAGGTGTAAACATTGCAATTTCATGAAAACGACCTGTAAACTGGATCCAATCAGTACCTAGTGACAGATGTGTACGTGATTCCTAATGAAGACTCGTAGGATAGCACCTATTTTGATGCAGTATCACTTAAATCATTAAGAATGTTTTCTTCCAACTGGAAAATACCTTTTCCTCCCAATACAGACAGTCCTAACTCTTTGATTTCAACACAACCTTTAACTTACACAATCTTCAACAATATTGCATTAAAAAAAGAAAATCTACTCAAAGCGTAACTGTTTTCAACATGCATAAAACGGTGATTCACGTTCCACGTTAAATGTAAAAGGCAAAATGGAGTTGTAAAGAGTTTCTTTCCCATTTCAACTCCGACAGCCACGCGCGCTTCGCAGCGGCCCGTCTACACAGCGCGGTCTCGGGCCGGCCGGGAGCCCCCGCCCAGCCAGGCGCGGCCGTGAGAGGAAGCGCCGGGAAGGGCGGGCGGCTGGGGCTCCACCAGGCCGGGCCGGGCGGGGGAAGGGGCACTGGAGGCGGCGGGGCGCGCTTCCGGGGACTGTGCGGGCGGGGCCGCTGCCTTGGGGCGCGGAGCCCCAGCCGGGAGTCAGGGTCAGGGGCCAGGGCCAGGGGCTGCCGGACCCGAGCAGCAGGTGGGGCGCGGCCGCAGCAGGGCGGCGGGCGGGTGGCCGGAAAAGTGCCGGCCGGGCGGGCCCGGGCGCCGCGTCGGCTTAAGGGAACCCTCCTGCTCACCTCAGGCGACGACTCCGAGATCAGCCTCTTCGCGCCGGGGACGCCTATCCACGAGTCGCAACCGCAGAGACAAGGACGGGCAGCTCCCGAGGCAACGGCGGACTAACGAGAGAACCGACCGAGGGCGGCGGGCGGGGACCGCGAGCGAGCGAGGGCGGGCGGGCAGGCGGCGGCGGGAGGGCGGGGAGCAACGTGCGCGTCCCCGACCGCCCTGCGGGCTCGACCTGGCGCCAGTCGCGGTCCCGCGCACGCGCGCACACTCAGCTCAGCCACGATTGCTCAGGAGCGCGTCCACACCCTAAAAGCAAGACGTTTAACCAATCAATGTAGCCGCGTAGGGCATCACGGGAACTCCAGGACTATAAAAGACCCAGTTGCTATTTTATACTACAAGAATCACTCGTCCCTTAAGTAAGCAGGGTGGGACTAGGTGCGCGTGCGCGGTATTAGTACCCCTCCCTAAACTGCCAACTCTTCGCGCAAGCGAAGTAGGTCCTCATTGCCTGGTATTACGCGTGCGTGCTGACAGGCTTGATTTCCCTCCCCGCCCCGCAACCCCCCCGGAAAACCACGCGCCTGCGTAGTGGGGAGTACGGTGACAGAAGTCCGGGTGGGGCTCAGGCCAGTCATGGCGGAGCCTTGGTCTGGGCAGTACTTTCAGGCTCTACCCGCCACGGTGCTGGGCACTCTAGGCACCCTGGGCAGCGAGTTCCTAAAGGAGTGGGAGGCGCAGGACATGCGCGTGACCCTCTTCAAGTTGCTGCTGCTGTGGTTGGTGTTAAGTCTCCTGGGCATCCAGCTGGCGTGGGGGTTCTACGGGAACACTGTGACCGGGTTGTATCACCGCCCAGGTGAGGCTCCCTACGAACCTCCGTGGGCTGGCCTCCCTCACCACCTCTAGGCTGTGCCATTGGGTTCCCCAGTGTCCCCCTAGACTACCACTGCTCCCCAAGAGCCTCATTAGAACTTAACCCTAACCTATGCCACCATATCATTTTACATAAGAAATCCCACCAGTCCACCTATCACATTGTTACTGTTCCTCAGAATCCTCACCAGACAACACCACTAGTACCTTAGGACCACAGCCCCACTCCACCAAACAATACCAGTAGCACCTAACCTGACCTGGGCTGATGCCTGTTCAGATCCCCACTCCCAACCTGTTGCAGCTCTGATGTGTTCCTGCCTCCAGGTCTGGGCGGCCAGAATGGATCTACACCTGATGGCTCTACTTACTTCCCTTCGTGGTGAGTAAATCTGTCCTTACCCCAACCCCATGATTGGCAGGCAGAGGACATGTCTTGCTGGTGACAGGGAGGGAATTCTTAGGGTATGAGTCCACCAGCTCAGTGGACTTTACAAGCATCCTCCAAGTCTGCATGTAGTGCTCAGGCATCAAGTTGGAGTGACACCAATGTCTGGAGAGTCCCTCATCAGCAATGCCCTTCAGCAACCTGTTGGGTGGATGGTGGTATTATCACAATTTCAGAGAGATGAAATGGCAGGTCTGTTAGGAGCAAGCCCCTCAGTTGAAAAGTCCTTTGGTTGGGAAGTCAAGAGCCTCCATTCTGCTGGGCCCTGGAGGCTCACACCTGTAATCCTAGCTACTCAGGAGGCAGAAATCAGGAGTATCAAGGTTCGAAGCTAGCCTGGGCAAATAGTTCTCAAGACCTTATCTCAAAAAAACCCATCCCAAAAAAGGACTAGCTGGATGGCTCAAGGTGTAGGCCCTGGGTTCAAACTCCAGTACCACCAAAAAAAAAAAAAAAGCCTCCATTCTAAGCAAATTTTGTACCATTGAGCTATACCACCAGCCCTAAGAGCCTCTATTCTTAGCACACTGATTGATCTACTCAGGGTTAGCCTCCTCATCTATAAAACAAGAGTTTACTAATCAGGGCATTCACTTAGCTAATCTCTGAGCCTCTGCCACATGGCAAACATCACACTAGTCCCAGAAAATGAAAACCCAAGCTCTGCTCATAGGGAGTACAAAAGACTTATAAGTGGAGCAGGTCATATGCCTGTAATCCCACCACTTCAGAGATGGAGGCAGAGGACCACAAGTGCTAGGTCAACCTGGGCTATACAGTGAGAGATCCTGTCTCAAAAAAAAGATTAATAAAGGGAAGCGCAGGGGCAAGGGTGGTCAGGGAAGGTTTCTCCCAAGACAAAGAGCAAAACTGAGATCAAAGGCCAGGTGGTGGCAAGTGGTCTGGGCAAAGGGAATGGATAGAACAAGGCCCACAGGCAAGGACAAGGGTGACATTTGTGATGGTGGTGTTTGAATGTAAAGGCATGGAGGACCCAGGGAACCATTGAAGGACTGATGCAGCAAGGTTATGGCCTGACTTAATTTGCCTTTATAACTGCCTGCTTAATGGCAAGTAGATAAAGGGGCCCAAGAAGCCATTTAGGCTTGCCACTGACCAAGGTTCTGTCTTAGGCAACTTAGTCAGTACCATTAGGTGGGGAACCAGAAAGAACAAGTCTGCAAGGGGGAAATGGGTGGGCCCACAGGCTATGGGAGATCAGCAAAAAGGTCTAGACTGTAATGCACTCTTACTAAGCTCACCTTAGATCCCAGGAAGAGATGGGGAGAGCAAACCTCAGGGACTATTCTGCTGCCCATAAAATAACCTTTCCTCTCCATCAATTTCAGGGAAACAGCAGCAAATGAACCTCTCAAAACCCACAGAGAATAAGGGAAGGCAGCAGCAAAAGGGTCTCCAGAGGCATTACTGGATCTGCTGGCTCCTACATTGGGTCCTGATGCTGCCTAGATCCCTGGGACAACTGCAGGAGGCTCAGGGTTGGAGACAGAGAGTACCCCAGTGTTTGCAGGGCATAATTCCATTGCCTTTGGCCTTGCCTTCAACAGCCCCAGGTACTGGGTGAATGAAGAATTTGCCTCTGCCCTGATCTGTTTGCCTTAAGAAGACATGTTGCTCCTCTCTCAGGGTCAGAGCTCAGAAGCCTTTCAGTTAGGGAGGCCAGCTGTCCCTTTTCTGTCTTGGTTTCTCATTCCCCTAGGATGTGACCCTATAGAGATTTGTCCCTCCAAGAGGAAGCCTGACCAGTTCTGGAATTTGTAAGGGGAGTCTGTTCCTTCTAAGCCCTAAACTTCCTGCATTTCCTTAGCTTGGCTTTGCTGGCAGGGAGCCAGGTAATCCTGGCCTAGGCCAGACCTTCAACTCTAAGGTTACTTAGTTGACCATTCAGGTATAAGGCAAGGGGTCCTTATTGGCACCATCCAGATGGAGGCACCAAATACCCACCTCCTTTGTCTAACTAGAGTTCTTCAGATATGAGCCAGTCAAAGTAGATTATCATTTCCCAAATGACCTTATACTTCTCCATTCTTCTTGGGGGAAAGCTAGTTGCCTAAGAGAAACAGAGCTTTCTAATAGACCCCTGGGTGGCCTCCCACCCCCACTGCTTAGTGCCCATGGAGTCGAGTCTATACCTCCCCTCATAGGGAGGTGCAAAGCAGTTAGTGCACAGTGACTCCATCATGCCCTGCAGCCTCATCATTTCCCATCTTGACCTAGAACAAACAGGGACCTTATCCTGAGAGCCCACTAGCAACATTTCAATCCCTAGGAACCCTCAAGAGAAAGAGTCACAGTCCAGTAGACCAGGGGAGGTTCTAATGGGGTGGATGATGAGTGCCCCCACAGAAACATCACTTCCTGAAAGCATTGTTGGTTCCTGGACTGCCTTCTTCCCTAATGGCTGTAATTTCTGCCTCCCTCTGCTGGACCGCCAGCTACCTCAATGTCCCATTGCCTGCTTCTTCTATTAGATGTCACATATCCATCTGGCAGCCTCTGCCCAGGCAGACTTTGTGTCAGGTGCACTAAAAGTTAAGACTGCACCGAACTCCTTATGCATGTGTACCTACTCCAGAGATGTCATCTGGCTGGCAGGATGATATTCTTCACAGCCTCAGGCCCATCCATCGACACCACCACACAAAATCAGGATCTCACATTTCACTCCAGGCTCAATTGAAGATGTGGCTTATTAAACACAGATGTGCATAAGTTGTGTGGTTATTTGAATAAGACAAGTGTGCAAGCCCAGAGGCAACTGTTGAGGGAACATCCTGAAAGCTGTTGCCCCTCAGAATCCAAAATTCCCTCAGGAAATGCAGAGGTAGAGAAGTGATGGCAGTATACTAGAGGTGTGGAGATGGGACGCCCAAAAGGTGCAATATTCCCGTTAGTTCTTATAAATCTGGCCCCTCTCAAGGGGAACCTATTCTGAACCTGTCTTGAAGGCCTGGAAGGCAAGCACTGGGTTGGCACCCCATGAAACCTGTGGACAAAGAACGATGAAGCTAGAAACCATGGCAAGTAAGAAGGAAGGAAGCTTGTTTAATTTTTTTTTCCCCCCAGAGGTCATTAAAGTCTAGTTTACATGCTGGGTGCAATGGTCAGCCCAGGTAGTGAGCCTGCTATGGCTTGCTACTGGGCAGCAGAATAAGCTGACTGGGAATGTGGAAGGGTGAGTCCATGTCTGCTCAGCCATCCCCAAGTTTACACACAGGAATAATTTAGCTAACACTGTGAGTCAGAAATCATTCCTGTCCTGGGAGAGGCAGCAGTTTGCATTCATGGAAAGCAAAAGTGGAGGAAATGGCCTAAGTCCACACTGCCTAAGGTAATAACCCTTTGAAATGTAAAAAAACCATGATGAGGTAGGTTGGGCAGGTGTTATCCTCACCACAAAAGTGAGCCTTTGCTCCACAGCCATCACCTGATAGAGTAGGGTCAGTGGAATTGTGGAATGAAACAGAACATTGGGTTAGCAAATCTGTCACTTAGACGTAGGGTCCTGAAGTTGAAGTGTTATGTTCTGGGGGCGACGTAGGGTCCTGAACTTGAAGTGTATGTTCTGGGGGCGGAGGACAAAGCAAACCTCCACTTAGTTTGCTTCACTCATTCCCAGTGAGTTCTGCCTCACTGTCCTAACTAAACCTTATAGAATTCCCTTCAGGGCAAACTTCTGGAGAGGAGGGCCCTGCCCTAGGCCGTCCTTATTTGAAAGTGTAGTAGTTCGTGGGCACAAAAGGCATTTTGCTGACCACAGCCATCTGCTGCTTCCGCCGCACCTCCACCAGCAGCTGTGTCCCTGGCCGACTATACTTGGGAGGCACATAACCCATCGCCACATTCTTCTTTAGGGAGGGTGATGGGCAGCCACTGGTTACAGCACCTGTTCAGGCATAGACAACGGGTCAACACCACCCTGCCAGCTCAGTATCCCTACCCTCCTGGAAAGGGGACAAGGACTCCCCAGGTTCCCTGGACCACCTACCAATCACGCTGCCTTCTGTGCTCAGGATGGGACTGTGTGCCCTCATCGGGGCACCCTCACACATCAACCCCACACGCCTCCTCTGCACCACGCCTTTCAGCTGGGGAACAATGACTTTGGCTCCTGGGAAGTCCATAGCAGCTCTGCGGCGCTTCCCTGGAGCATGACACACCAGACTTAAGCCACACCCATAGAACCTCTTGCCCCAGGAGGTCCTTAAGTGTCACCAATCAAGCATCAGGGCCCCTTCTTCCCCCAGGCTCTATTCCTCCCCGGCACTACAATCAATAAACTACCTTCCACCCCTTGGAAGCCATGCTGAGGAGGGGCCTGGGTCTGCCTCAATCTGTAATAGGCAAAGCCACAGTGGCACCTTCAGGGAATGGAGGCTGAGAGAAGCTGTCACTTGATTCACCCTATTCAACCACACAAGCAGTCATGGGCTAGTTGACCTTATTAAAGGTCACTCTAGACCCCTTGGTTGCTAGTCCAGCTCACCCAATGTCCATCCGAGACTGCCCTCCACAGGTGTGGTATTTTCATCAATGTCATTCCCATACAGGCAGAGGCCTGCCTCCAAGCGCAGGCTGTCCCGGGCCGCCAGCCCTGCCAGCTTTACCTCTGGATTTTCCAGCAGAGCAGTTGCCAGGTGCACGGCCCCAGCCGCTGGTACTGATATCTGCATAAGACACAGAGAACAGGTAGGCAATTGCCCACCAAGTCTTGTGCTCTGCAATCACTATGCAGTCCAGGCAGTCCTGAAAATCTCAATCCTTTCATCTCCCAAGTGCTGGGGTTACAATTGTGTGCCACCACACCAGGCTTTAAAAACTACTTCTTGCCTACCTCCACACCATCCTCTCCTGTGTAGCCACAACGGGTCACACGACAGCCAGACACACCAAACACCTCCATCACAGCACTGGTCATGAAGGGCAGTTTCTTCAGGTCATCTGCCACGCCAGCCTGTAGCACCTGAGCTGCAGTGGGGCCTGGATCCAGGGAGGCAATGATCAAGTGTCCTGGTTCTATCACCCTCAAAACTGGATGATAGCTTTTTTTTTGCTTTTTTTTTTTTTGTTTGTTTGTTTGTTTGAACTCAGGGCCTACACCTTGAGCCACTCCACCAGCCCTTTTTTGTGAAGAGTTTTTTTCAAGATAGGGTTTCATGAACTATCTGCCCGGACTGGCTTTGAACAGTGATCCTCCTGATCTCTTCCTCCTGAGTAGCTAGGATTATAGGCATAAACCCCACCAGCATCCAGCTGGATGATAGCTCTTATTCAAGGACCAAAACATATCCTGAACAAGTCCTACTCTGCAGGTAGAAGATGTTCTTCTCCTTGCCTATAGAGTCTTGGGGGAAGTAGGAGGAGGGGAAGATACCTATCTTAGAGTTGTGGCACACAAATATCACATGATACACACCTTTCTTTTAGAATGGCTTCTGTGCTAAGCAGTAAATTAAACCGGGAAGGATAGCTCCAGCCCCAGCCTGACCATCTCACCTTGCAGTGCTAGCAGAGCATTATCTACCACCTCCAGGCCCACATCATCACCCCTGTTCTGAAGCTCCCTGACCTTGTCCTGGAATGAAAGACAAAAATACCACATCATTGTTGGGACCACTTACTCAACACCTATCATGAACTGGACAACGCAGAGCTGATCAATGAGCTAGCTAACGGCGTGGTTCACATGTTACAAAGTCACACAGATAAGTGATAGGTATGACCTAACTCTAAGTCTCTCACTTCTCATATCCTCACTAGACGATGCTCACTGAGGGACAAGTGTCAGCTTTAGATCCTTGCCTCCCCCAGTTCCCAACATCAAACCCTAGTTCACTCCAAGGAGGGCTTGTTCTTTTTTTTTTTTGTGGTACTGGGGCTTGAACTCAGGGCCTTCACCTTGAGCCACTCCACCAGTCCTATTTTTGTGAAGGGTTTTTTGAGATAGTCTTGTGAACTATTTGCTAGGGCTGGCTTTGAACCGAGATCCTCCTGATCTCTGCCTCCTGAATGTCTAGGATTACAGGCATGAGCCTGGATGTCGAGCTCCCTTTTTGAGACAGCTAAGGACCTGCTCTTGAGTTTCATAGCTATTCATTCACTCAAAGAGCCATTTTCTAAGTCCTTATCCACTCCAGGGCACTGCTTTATGAACAAGGAAGACAAATTGCCTAGAACGTAGAGGGGCTGTACCTGCATGAGGGCCAAGTCCTTCTCCCAGCAGCCAGCATTGGACACCACATACAGGTGCTCCTCAGAAGTACTGGTCACAATCAAGTCATCTAAGATGCCTCCAGCCTCATTGGTAAACAGTGACAGGGTCCCCTATCATCAAAGTAGAGCATCTTTGCCTCCAGGTCCAGGAGGCCAAGGCCAAGGATGAGCCAGACACACCCTGGACTCACTCAGCCACCACAAACTCATGAATCGAAGGTACAGGCTGGGCTCAAATCCAAAGTCTTTGTTCCTTATACACCTAGTTAGTTTTCACCCCCTCCCCATCTTGGGGGGCTTCCACAATTTAGTGGTACCTCTACACCCCTCCCTACTCAGTACTGGGAACCCCATCTCAACTTAATCTAGGACACCTAAGACTTGCTGCCCAGGTCCCAAGCCCCTGTATAAAAGCTTCAAAAGTCCATCTTTATGATCCCATATACTCCCAAAACACTTTACAGCAATGTCCCCAAAATACTATAAGACTGGCCTTAGCCTCCCCACTGGAGAAAGAGCCTGAGGTTGAGAAGTCACCTGGGGATCTTGTTAAAATGATGGTTCTGACTCAGCAGGTGTACAACAATGCCTGAGAGTATATTCCTAACAAGCTCCTAGGAGGTGGCAAGGCAACTAGGATAGGAACCACACTTTGAATAGCAGGAGAACAGGCAACATGAGAGGTCAGGGAACTGCGCATTCCTGGATTCCCAGCCTGTTAACACTGGGATAGCCCCTTTCCAAAGCTGACTGGGTATCTGGAAATGACTCAATGACTGCCCCCACAGCACCAAGTCCTGTGAAGCTGTGTCAGATCCATCTTTGTGCCCCCAGGCTTGAGGCAGAGACTTGGCCTTCTTGCTGGCTTATGACTAAAAACACCACTGAGCAGAAATACAAGGACCCACCTGGTTTGGCTTTAGCTCTGCAATGTCACCAACCACCAGGCTCTCCATCAGCTTCACCCGGTCACGACCAAATATCTTGGTCTGGAAAGACATTCAAAGTCTCAAGTCACTGGAACAGTTACAATCTGAAAGGCCACTACGCAAGGGAGGCTTCCTCCCTGCCATCCACAGCACAATCCAATCCAGAAGTGAATGACTAGTCTTATGGTTTGGGATATAACAGAGGCTCCACCTTCTTATTCCCCCACATCTCCCAAACCAGGTGTGACTGAGGGAAGTCTGGGAATTTAAGAGGAGCTAACACCTTACTGAGATACTTTTCCAGCACAGTGAATGAAAGTCAGTGTCAGCTCTGGAAAAAACAGAGCATTAAGGTACACAGTGGGAACAGGCAGGAGAGATTAGAGAGGAGTTAGTCAGCCCCCTGGTTTTCTTGGCCCTGATTGTGGGTTTCCTTTATTAATTAGTAAGTGTCCAAGACACTTTGAGACCTCTAGCTCTTATGGGAAGGCACAGCACTGCAAACAAGAAAGAAGGCCTGATCCAGCACTCAGCACGATCCCCTAGCTTACCTGCAGCATGTGGGACACATCAAAGAGCGAGCAGTGCCGGCGTGTATGCAGGTGTGAGTCAACATGAGTGTCCTGGTACTGCACCGGCAGACTCCAACCAGCAAATGTCACCATTTTCCCACCTTTGGCCAGGTGGAAATCATAGAGAGGAGTCCTTCGGAGTACATCCTGTGGGCAGCCAAGCTTAGTGCCACCAGGGCCCCAGTGCCCAGCAGCCTCCCTCCCCCACCCTCCAAGATCGGCACCAAACTTCAGCACCCTTTATCCCACCTGTGCGCAACTGAGTGGGCGACCCAGGGTAGAGGGAAGCGCCTGCAGGCGAAAGCCCAGAGGGGACACCATGCTCACTGCCCGCCACATCGTCACCCCCAACTGGTGCAGACGGCACACAGAGGCACCATCTGCCAGGGACGCTGGGAGATGTAGTCCGAGCCCCTGCTCGGACAGGTCTCTAGAGCGCGCAGGGGATCAGAAAAGGGGGTGGGAAGGCCGGAGGGTAGGCTGGGATTCAAAGCAGAGTGCAGAAACTCCCAACAGCCCCAGGCTCTTCCTTCTGGCTAATCATCAAGTCAGACAATCCAGAGCAGATTGGGCTGCCTAGAACCAGAGGTGGGGGCTAGCCCTCCCAGTGATGAACTGCCCTGCCTCCAAAAGGTCAAAGTTCTACAAATGTCTGAAAGGCCTGAATCACACATTCAGGTCAAATGGAGGTGGAGATGGAGAGGTCACAAGAGGGTGGAGCCAGCCTGGTGGGTGGAGTAACACAGTAGCTTGGCCTTCTACGGTGGTCTCCAGCTCTCCCACTCACAGACACAGGCAGCCAGCAAGTCATGCATTCCACAAGTATTTATTGATCTTGCTGCAATGACCATGGTTCCCTGAACACAGTGGTATGGTCATCACCCTTTCAGCAAAAACTGAGTGGGGCTAAATAAGTGATCCTGCTGGTGAAGATACCTGCAAGAAGGTTGATGGGTTAAAATAGAAGATAGCCACCAAAAGGTAACTGAATGCCAGGTGCCAGTGGCTCATGCCTGTAATCCTAGCTATCTGGGAAGCTGAGATCTGAAGAATCGAGGTTCCAGGCCAGCCAGGGCATTGGCAAGACTTCATCTCCAAAACAACCAGAGCAAAATGGACTAGAGGTGTGGCTCAAGTGGTAGAGCTCCTGTTTTTCGAGCTGGAAGCCCTAAGTTCAAACCCCAGTTCCACCAAAAAAAAAGTGACTGAACTTCTGCCAGAAAACTCTAGCATACACCTGCCCAATTTTCCAGGTCTGAGATACTTTGCAGCACTGCTTCATAATAGCTCCAGGAACAAAGCCAGAAGGAAGCAGAATTTTATCACAGGAAGACTATCCTGCATCATAGATGGCCTGGGATTATGGAGAACCTCAGTCTCTCAAAATGCACCAGTGAGAACCTTCACTTGGACCCACTCCCCCACCAAAGTTGATCTCTGAGCACGACTGGGAAGAAGCAACAGAGAACAGAAATGGATGTGCTTTAGGCTGTGTCAGATGACAGACAGATTAGAAGTTTCATTTTTAGACCTCAGTACTACCAGAAGCACCTGCCTAGGCCCAACAGAGCACACATTCAGGAGCCAGCTCAGGGTCCTAGGGACTTGGGTTATTCAAATCCCGGGCTTTACCTCCTAGGTAGGCAGAAGAGTTTAAACAGGAAATTTCTTTTTGTGGGCATAACAAAGGAAAAAAGGCCACTAGGGGGAGCAGAAGAAGACCAGGGCATCTCTTCCTCAAGCTTCCCAGTCTTCATGCCAAGGCAGCAGTGGCTTTCTTAGGGTTAAATGGAACAGGTCCAGCCCAACCCACTGCACTCAGGATGGGGCAACCAGCAGAAGATTGGGTGTGCATGGAGGGGCAGAGGGCTCAAGAATTCTTAGTAAATAGAACTGGAGTATTTTTAAGGTAGGAGATGAAATTGCATTGCGGCCAGGCAAAGACAAGGTGCGCCCCTGCCAGGAATTCATGCTGAAGTAACTAGGTGAGCCCAGAGTATTTTGAATCTGTGAATGCGGCCCAGAAAGAACAGGCAATCAGGCAAAACTTGGAATGCACAGGAAACACGCTTCAGTCTCTTGTTGCCCAAACCAAGCCTGCATGGGCACAGAAGGCCAATGTTTCAGATGGGAGCCACCACTCAAGTGTAAGAGAGCAGGTTCAGGTCATAACAGCCATCCACCTGCAACACAAAAGACAATCAGTTCAGACCTACTCAGGGCGATGCAAACCAAGCAGAGGGAAAGGATCACTCACATCAAAGCGGCCGATCCTCGTGGAGGTGTGATTGGCCCGGATCATCTCCGTCAGTGCCCACATCTGCTGCACCTCCGAGGAAACGCTGCTGGGGTCTGGAAGACCCTGATCCAGAAGGGACGGGGTTAGTGGCCATGAGTTTCTCCCCAGAAGTGCCCTTACAGCTCCAGAGAGGCCACGCTAAGGGACCCTCCAGCTGAAACCAGTAACATTCCCAGATAATTGGGGATCATGAGGTTGGGGCCTAATGTTCAGTGGGCAGCCCAGCCCCCCCTCACTAGAGATGCCTCAAATACCACACAGCACCCAAGAAGATGGCACAGATTGAACCAAGGTCCCTGGGTCCAGCCCCAGATTCTTACAGAAATGGGCCAACCTGTACTTGTGCTGGACACCAAAGCCACTCACACATGGTTCTTACCCAGGGTGAGAATTTACCTCAAGGAGTGGGGCAGGCGGCTCACAGGATACTGGGTGGGAGAGCCACTTGGGGAAGGTCTTGGAGGGGCTCTGCAAAGCAAAGGTGTAATGTCCTGAGTAAGGCAGAGTGGGAGAGCACTGGTACCTGAGAGCAGAGAGAAGGGCCGTTGAGGCTGAGACACTGAGAAAACCCTGTTCAGTAGGCTCACATAAGCCTGAGGGAAGAATCAGACTACTAAAATCTCCTGCTGTGCAGGAGAACCCAGGAATATATGCAACAAAAGTGTCTCCCAGAACCTAGAGTTCCATTTCTGAAAGCGGTGGGTGGCCCCAAAGGTCAGGGGATACAGGGACAAACCCTTATCTCCCATCATGAACTTCCAGCATTTATACCCAACTAACTTCCAAGAGGGCTTCCTTCTGAGTCTCACCATCCTCACCCATCACCCACTCCACTGCTCCAGCTTTCCAAGCCATATCTGGAAACCACTTGGGGACAACAGTTTTAGGTTAGTCACTTACCTTTGGTCCTTGTTGGTAAATTTGAAGCTCCTCCACTGTGAAAGACAGCCACAGTGGTGATGGCTGCCGCAGAATCAGACGAAGCTCCAGTACTTTGGCCATGTCACACAGCATCTGACACACACACACAAGGACCAAAAAAACACCCAGTTCACTGCCCAAGAACCTCCCAAACAGTGGTAAGCCAACATACTATCTCTCTACGCCTTTAGAGACGAACAATAGTCTCTCCAAGGCACTTGCCTGGAAGTCATAAACCCAGCCAGTGTCTTATCCCCTTCTTCCCTCATGCTACACTGGTCTAATCCCCAGGCCTACTGTAAATCCTCACTGGGCTGTCCTGGCCACGTTGAGGCCCAGCTGACCTGGTGCTTGAACAGCGATACATAATCCTGGGCTCCCTCCTCACTGTGTGGGTCAGGCATCAGACAGTAGTCCCGCAGACAGGTCACCCATTTGCTTGATGTGTGCATTGTGGTATGCTGACGGACACGGATGCTCAAAAAGGCTGTATAGTAATTCTTAAATGTGATCTCCTGCAACTAGAGCACACAAAACCCACCATGACAAATCAGGCCTGAGACACTCAATGAGATCATCCTGTCTTTCTTTTGGAATGCACTCTTCTGCTAAACAAATTCAATAAGCATCACTGGGCCCCAAAGACAATTTTGCTTTCCTAAAGGTGCTCACAGTCTAAATCAGTAAAACAAACCACAACCACAGATCTTAACACATATCCAAGATGATGTCAGGGGTTAGAACTTTACTCCTGGAGGAAGCAGAAAATGTTCACACGAGGCCTGGGATGATGTTTATCAAGTAGACCAAGAAAAGTAGGTAATGTAAAAGCAGAATATGTAAAAAAGCATTAGAGCAGCAGGCATGGCTCAAAGTGTTAGAACACCTGCTTCAAAAGCATGAAGTCCTACGTGGCGCTGGTGGCTCATGCCTGTAATCCTAGCTACTCTGGAGGCAGAAATTAGGAGGATCGCAGTTTGAAGCCAGCCTGGGAAAATAGTTCACAAGACCCTATCTCAAAAAAACCTAACACAAAAAGGGCTAGTGGAGTGGCTCAAGGTGTAGGCCCTGAGTTCAAGCCCTAGTACAGCAAAAAAAAAAAGAAAGAAAGAAAAGGCACAAAGCCCTGAGTTCAAACCCCAGCACTACCTCCCCCACCAAATTAAAAATCACCAGAGTAAGAGAACCTGGCACAGCATAGGGAGCAATTCAGCCTGGTTACAGCAGTGGTCCTCTACATACATCAGGGTCACCCAATAGACTTTGAAAAAATACAGGTGTTGTAGGCTTCACCTCAACTCTAACTGACTCAGGTTTTAATTAGGGTTAGGTCCTTTAATTAGGTTTCTGGTAATAGTAAGGAACAACCTGTAAATAACCACACACTGTAACACAAAATGCATGGGTCAGAGAGGGCAGATGGGGTGCAGGTATGGAATGGCCCAGAGTGCCAGGCCATTAGAGTAGCCTTTGTCCTCTGTGTTGAGATCTTGCAGTGTCCAGTCGCTGTCAGCCGATATGCAAACGCAACTGGAGATTGGAAACTACAGACATTGCGAGGGAAGATCCTAATGAGGTATGAGTTGCACATGACCTCTGGCAGGGACTGGAGGGATACCTACAGAGGAGGCAGGTTTTGGGATAAATCATTGTTTAATGATTCCCCAACTGTGGCCAGAAACAAAGTGACCTCTCACCTCTATTTGGTTCATAAATGTATTTCCAGCACCACCTAGCCTATTCTCTGGTACCTCCGTGCCAGCGATGTCCTGGACCCTGAACGTAAGGGAATGGATGTCGAAAAGAACAGGACAGGAATTTGTCTTCTAGTAAATACTGTACATGCTACTGAGGAAATAATGAATGGTTAAATAATTCGTTAGGGCCAGAGACACTGCAGAAGCTTTCCATAAAAGATCAAATGCCTGGGAAACGCCCAAGTTCCCAGATCTACCCCGCCCAGGAGCCCTGGTTACGTCCAACGGGACTAGCTCACCTCGAAAGGCGCAACGCTGGGAAAGGTGACATCGATGACCAGTACACCAGGTCGACCTTGGGATGTCCGCACATCGCCCACTTGAAGAGCTACAGTGCCTTTCACATGACAGGGCACTGATACACGGGACATGGTGCCAGGGGCTGCGACCAAGCGCAATCGCCGCTTGGAGCTTCCCACCACTATTCCTTCCCGGCTTCCCCCACCGAGCTCCAGGAACTACAACTCCCGGGAGGCCTTGCGCTCAGCCAGACCAGCCAATCGCCAATGGCTATGCAGGCCTGGAGTCGGAAGTGCCCACGGAAGTTTTTCTTTAGCCAGTCACCACGCGAGCCTTAGAGCCGACTGTGGGCGGTGCCATGCAACCGCCTGGATCGTTCTGTATCCAAATCACGTGAACAGTTTTGGCACCCGTAATTTCGCTAGGTTTCTGCTGCTGGAGTGGGGCAGTTAAAGTGTGTAAAGCCATGAACACAAATTAGCACAATGACTGACTGGCATTAATCGCAAAAATAGACTGCCGTCATTAATCGGAAAAACAGATACTAGAATTTTTTTTTTTAATGCAGGGACCAGGGGTGATGGTACACTTTTGTAATCCCAACAGTTGGGCGTGAAGGCTGAAGGATCACGAGTTCAAGGCCAACCTGAGCTACATAGCAAGACACCCCCCCCAGTCTCAAAAACATAGAGATATATATACATACATATACATATAGAGAGACTATATATAATAGTAATCATAATAAAATGTTGGGGGTTAGCACAGTAGTAGAGCATTTACTTAGTATGCCCGAGCAGCTTGGCTGATCTCCAGCACTGAAAAAAAAGAGAAGAAAAAAAAAAAAGGTTTGAACAGATACTCCACAAACGATAAATAGCCAACAAACCATGAAATATGTTTAACACTATCAGGAAATATATATTAGAACATCCACTAAACAAGCTAAGAAAGTGGAGTACCTGGAACGCTTATTCATTGATTTCCAATTTACTTTGAAAAACACTGACCTTTCTTACAAAATTTATAGCCACAATATGATCCAGCTTTTGCACCCTAATGTATTTACATAAGGGAAATGAATGCATACTTCCAATCAAGTTATTATTCATAATAACCAAAGCTTGGAAATCATACAAACATCCAACAGAAGAACAGATATAATAATTGCAGTTCAACCATATAATGTAATACTACTCATCAGTAAAAAAAAAAAAAAAAATGCACAACAGGTGGGCCTGTAATCCTAGCTACTCAAGAAGCAGAGATCAGGAGGATCAATGTTCAAAGCCACAACAGGCAAATAGTTACTGAGACCTATCTTAGAAAAACCCATCACAAAAAAGGGCTGGTAGAGTGACTCAAGGTGTAGGCCCTTAGTTCAAACTCCAGTACCACAAAAAAAAAAAAAAAAAAAAAAAAAAAAAAGAATAAACAGGGCATGATAGGGCATATTAGCAATCTCATCTAATCAGGAGATTAAAGCAGGAGGATCACAAGCTTTCAGCCACCCTGAGCAATTCAGTGAGAACCTATCTCAATAAAATTAAAAGGGGCTAGGGGTGTAACTCAGTGGTAGGGCATTTACGTAGCAGATGTGGCTCTGGGTTCAATCCCCATACTGAAAAAAACCAAAACAAACAAATTAAAAAAAAAAAAAAACAGCTGGAGCTGGGCAGATCAGGAGGATTGTGGTTCAAAGCCAGCCCAGAGCAAATAGTTCAGGAGACCCTATACTGAAAAACCCATCACAATAAAGGGTTGGAAGAGTGGCTCAAGCAGTAAGAGTGCCAGCCTAGCAAACATGAGACCCTATGTTCAAATGCCAATATGGAAAAAAATAAATAAATAAAGGAGAGCCTAAAATTTGATTGAGTTTACACAAGAATTTTTGGAAAATATACCATCACCCTCACCTGGTTGATTACACCTAGAAAAGAGTAAAGGTTAAAACTAATTAAAAGCCCCCAGGGACTAAGTACTGTTGGTTTAATTCTGTAAACTAGCTACTTGGGAGGTTGAGATCAGGAGGATGGTGGTTCCAGGCCAGCCCAGGCAAAGAGTTCAAGAGACCCATCACAAAATAACCAGAGTAAGCCAGGCACCCATGGCTAACACCTATGGTATGAACTACTCTGGAGGCAAAGAGCAGAGGGATCATGGCTCAGAGCAGCCTAGGCAAAGTCATGAGACTTTATCTCAAAAATACCCGGCAGAAAAAGGGCTGGTGCTGGGCGCCAGTGGCTCACGCCTATAATCCTAGCTACTCAGGAGGCAGAGATCAAGAGGATTGCGGTTGGAAGCCAGCCCAGGCAAATAGTTCTCGAGACCCTATCTCAAAAAAAAACAGGCTGGCGGAATGGCTCAAGTGGAAGACCAATTGCCTAGCAAGCATGAGGCCCTGAGTTCAAACCTCTATAAACCCCACTACCACCAAAAAATAAAATAATACATAGAAAACAATACATATTAACAACATATTTATCATAACTATCCAGATTCTTGTGGAAAAAAAATGCCTCAAAGGTTATCAGTTAAGTCTGATTTATAGATGTGAAACCTGAGGCCAGAAAAGATCCAATCATTCTCAAACCAGGAAAACAGTGTGAAATAAGGCTAAAACCAAGACCTCTCTTAGGCTCCCAACTTGTTATGAGAGCCCCCAGCCATGAAAGCCTAGCTCTGAGCCTGAACATTCAAATACATTAAGAGAAAACAGAATAGAATATAAAGAAAAATGGGAAAATGAATTTATTTTGTTTTAGTCAAAACTGGGAAAGAGAGAAATTCTTAATCTGTCTCCCCTTGTCTAAGCAATGTTATAATTTATAGAAAGAATGAAACAAAAGTCAGGAAATATGCACATGGAAATAGTCTTTCTCCTGGAAGATGGGCCTTCTGGTGTTAGGGTTCTTGCAGGTGGTCCATTTTCCTTCCCAGCATGGGATTTCCTTCAGGAATCCTAATTCCTAGGGCCCCATTACAACCTCACAGATCGGAACCCTCTAGGCAATGGTCAGCTTCTGGTGACCAGCATCTCTTCTGTTTTGAGGGGCCCCAGAAACAAAGTTCCTCACAGTCCATGGGGTTTTCATGATCAGGTGCCAAACAGTTCCAAGTCCAGCATTTCAGTCCAGTCTAAGGAACAGACTGGAAAAGTTGTACCTTCCCAGTTCAATCCTAGATATTTTAGTGGCAGAAAATAGCTCCTGTCTTCCTGTTGACTATTGTCAGGGGAAAACAATTTGTAACCTTAAATCTCCTGGAATGTCCATCTTCGTTTTGACTCAGGCTAATGATTCAACTGCTTAGATCCTGCAAAGTTTCTGAGATTTTCCTGTTCAGGGAGCCTGCCCGCAGTGGAACAGAGGTCTCCCCAAATTCCAGAAGGCTTGGGCTCTCTAGGTATCAAGAGAATATAATGAGGCTCTAATCTTTTTACCCCAGCTCTAAGAGCACAGCAACCAACAGATTGAACGGTGTGACCTTTCATTGCAGAAGTATCTTACCTGATAGCCCCCACTCTAGCCCCTTCAATGTATTGCCTACACTTCTGTAGGCTGGCCTTTTCTCTTTTCTCTATTTTTCTTTCTTCTTTTCTTCCCTCTACTCTCCTTCCCAACTCTCTCTTTCCCTCCCTTCCCCTTCTCTCCTCTGTCCACAGGGTATCACTACATAGCCCAAACTGGCCTTAAACTCACAATCCTCCTACCTCACCACCTTACCCTCCTGAGTAGCTGGGATTTATAGGTGTCTGCCACCCATCTAGTTTTTTCTTTTTTTTTTAATTAATTAATTTATTTGGTGGGACTGGGGTTTGAATTTAGAGCTTCTCACTTGCAAAGCAGGTGCTCTACCACTTGAGCCACACCTCCAGTCCATTTTGCTCTGGTTACTTTGAAGATGGGGGGTCTCACAAACTATTTGCCTGAACTGGCCTCAAACTGTGATCTTCCTTATCTCAATCTACCAAGTAGCTAGTATTATAGGCATGAACCAAGGCTCCCAACTCTAGTCTAGTTTTAAATTTAAATTTTCAGGGTCTTTTCTCAAATTCCTAGATTAATCTGCACATTGTCAGAATGGTCACCGTATTTTATTGTGGTCATTACCTAAACTCTGTCTTCCATACTGGCTTATGTGGGGTATGAGGTCAAGAACGGAGTCCATCTGGTCAATGGCTATGTCTCACATCTCCTAGTATCATGATGGCAATAGCAAGTGGTGCATTTCAAATGAACACATTATTGTTTGATTTTTTTTTTGCAGTACCACCAAAATAAAAATGTAAATAAATAAATAGTCTAACATGAGTAATTGAGATCCTTGAAAGAGAGGAAACAAAAAGTTTCCAAATTTGAACAATATGAGGGAGGTGTGGCTCAAGCAGTAGAGCACCTGTTTTGCAAGTGTGAAGCCCTTACAGGATGCTGGTGGTCCACACCTATAATTCCAGCTACTTGACAGGATGAGATCCAGAGGATCATGGTTTGAGTCCAGCCCAGGCAAATAGTTCTCAAGATCCCTCATCTCCAAAATAAACAGAGAAAAACAGACTGGAGGTGTGGCTTATTTGGTAGAGCACATGCTTTGCAATTACAAAACCCTGAGTTCAAACCTTGGTCCCACTAAAAAAAAAAAAAAAAAAACTTAAAAAATTTTAAATTAAAAAAAGGAAAAGGAAAGCAATATAAGGCGGGTGTGGTGGCACTTACCTATAATGTCAGCACTCAGAAGGCTGAGGCAGGAAGATCATGAGTTTGAGGCCAGCTTGGGCTACATATCAAGATCTTCTCTCAAAAAAAAATTGACTCACTCCTGTAATCTAGCTACTCAGGATTGCAGTTGGAAGTCAGACCGGGCAAATAGTTCGAGAAACCTTATTTCAAAAAACACCCTTCACAAAAAAGGGCTGGTGGAGTAGCTCAAGATGTAGGCTCTGAGTTCAAATCCCAGTACCACAAAAAAAAACCAGTGAAAAAAGAAAAGTTATTAAAGTAATCAGACAGGGGAGAGTGGCAGGACAACACACACCTATAGAAGAACACAGGTATAACTACAGAGATTTCTCATCAGAAATAATAAAATCTAGAAAAAAAATTAGGAAATGTCATGTTTTAATATTTGAGTTTTTTTTTTTTAATCCAAGGTTAGAGTAACAGGGTTTTTTTGTAGGATTGGGATTTGAACTCAAGGA